AAAAAAAAGCAGGAACCAAGTTTCATAATGGCTTTGTTTGCCCTGAATTTCCGACGGGCGCATGCCTGTTCGATTTGACGTTGACATTCTTCGGTGTCATCAGCATTTTCGCCATGCCGTGGCCCTGTCGCCACCGAGGCGAACAAGGCCACCACGACCAATGGTGTCAATGTTCATGCGTGTACTGCGTGCAGCAGGGATACCAATGGAGATGGCTGCCTGCCAAGCAGCCAGTTGATTGCAGGGGGCCATGATCGAATTGGAAGTTTGTGTGTTGCAACTGTCTTACGCCCACAGAGTGAGGCGACTCGTGTCACGGCAAGTTTCGTTGGTACGCTGTCGAGGCGGCCAGGCTTTTCTCAAAACGCTTCGCCCCTGAAAAGCAGAGCCTTCCACGCAACAGAAAAGGAACAAAAAGTCAACACCATCACCTGTTAAAACGTATGGCTAGCATCAATGCTGAGATACAAACAAACAATCTGGAGTATCGTGAGAAACCCAATCCCCGCTTACCTGGCAGCTAGGCCTCGGCGGCCGCGCCTGCCTGCACAATCTACTTGACCGCTCCGCCCTTTCCCATCCCTTCGAGCCAAGCCCCGTCCCCGTCGAAACAAAAAGAATGGAAGAAAAGACGCTAAGAAACGGAAAATGTTTCATTCTTTCTTGTCAACTCGACAAACCTCCAACAGGACGAACCGAGCAATACACCACTCGTCACGCTTGCTTATACTCTTGCCGTTCGGTGTCAGGAGGGTCTTATCGCCGTGGCCTTCTGCTTGTCGGACAGTGCCGCCAGATGATATGAACCAACGTCCCAACCCTCGAAGAATCAAACGCCAAAATTCAAACAACGAGCTGCGAAAAAGTCGACGACAGAAGCCGAGATCCCAAACCCCGTCTCGTGAAAGTCCCAGTCAACCGACCCATGGAGTCAGCCCTGCCTAGACGTGTTGCAAGCCTCACTTTTGCCCCAGATTTGTCGAGTTTCAGGCCTACCCGACTCGCCATCAACCATTAGTGGAGAATTTGCAACAAATAGCTTCGACACCACCGATCCCGGATTCGGCCGGGTTTGCCGCGGTTGAGCTAGGCGAACATGGTGGGGGAGTCCGGAGCTGTTACCGAAACATGCAACGCATCCAAGTCCAGTCCGTCTGTCGCCCGGCCGCGAAGAACAACCACATCCGATGCCAACACGCGCTGCCTGCAAGTGAGCGACATATCCCTAAGCCCCTTGAAGCAGCAAGGAGTCAGAAAATGGAAAACGAAACAGAATAATTGACCGAACTAGTGCGCTACGGCACTGCTGGGAGCGAATCAATCACCTTGACGGCTTTTGCAGTATCCTGTCAGTATCGTTTAACGCCTTCGACGGGTTGATCTGGCATGCTCCACGTGGACCTCACCCGGTCTTTCTCGGACCCCGAAATGCAAGTCGCGCGGTAAATGATGATTCGGAAACTCTCCTTGCGACCTGTTCCATTCAAATGTCGATTCATCAATCAAGTGCCGCTTGTATATATGATCAAGGAAGTAGAAGTCTGGCCGAATATTTGCTGCTGTCATTCCATCATGAAAATGGCCAGCAATATGGTACAGTCTCTGGCGGAAACACATCTCGTCTCCTTGGTTCGAAGGAGACCCAAACTTGCCGTCGTCGCAAAACCAGCAAATACTGAATTTAGGACAGCACCCGTTCAGATGCTCGCCTATTATGTGGTCGATCCACAAGTTTACTTTGTTCGAGGGGAAGACTACATTGCAGCCAGAGAAGTTCTTGAATTCGCACGGTAAATTTGTCGGAATGGGATCCGGCACCGCGGGACGGTGACGTCCTACCGTTTCTGGACCATATAAGGGTGGAGGGGCCGTGGCGCTGGTATATACTGATAAACGATCAGATGCGTCAAAAGCTGGGCTCATTCGCGTCGCACTGGTCGCCAACGATGGAGCGCGCTCGGTGTGGGCCTCTCCCAGAGGTAGTTGTTCCTCAATGAGTAGCTCCTGGGGATAGTATTGTCCGCCACCATGGCTAAAGCCGAGAAACTGATGGGTATCGCGACTCCTTTGTACTCGGCCCACTAGTTCGTCAATCTCTCCTGGATCGAAGGCCATGATGTGGATTCCGGCTGTCGCCCTAGCGTTGCGCGACGACCAAGAGTGGGGTATCAGATACGAATCAAAGTCCTACCGGGAGTAGGACTGATGGTGAGCAGAGGGGAGAGTCGGTATATTTCGCAGCCCCGAGTTCTTCTACTCCTGATGGTTTGCTTTGAAATGAAATACCAAGCCGTGGATGTATAGACAGATGCGTGCTCGGGTTTCGTTGATGATTTGGTGCGGGATGATTGACCTTTCTAGGTCCACCGCTATGTTGGTGCGCGCAGTGCTCCCGCCGATCAGTCTAGACCAGAGGCCAGGGTTACCAGAGACGGCGGAACTTTTTTTTTTGTCAGATCGACCCGTTGAATCGTCCTAGCTCGCAGAATTTGAGCAATACGAATAGTCCAAGAGGACCACCCGCCAGACGAATATCTCAACTCAACCTGTGAGGGTTGACCAACGCAAGAAAAAAAAAAGCCCCCAGCGGCAAGCCTGGATGATATGTGGTGGGGGCTTTGCCGGCTTTTCTCACCCACCTTTGGCCATTCTCTTGACCAAGTACATACAACGGTCTGAAGCTCGTCTCTCTGGTGGAGCGAGTACCGTTTTGGGAGAAGAAAGAGACGCATCCGGTATTTTACTGAAATGAAGCCCTGGTCGCGATATCGGAGGAGACATACACCACACCAAATGACCATAGGCTTTCGTCGCAGTCAACCGGATATCCGCCCCAAATGCGATGAGCAGGCACAGGAAGCATCTCCTATAGCTGTCAAATCAAGCACTCACACAGAAACGTGTGCTATTCGGAACCAAGTTGTGTCACAGAAGACATATCATGTTTGCTCTACCACAATGGCTTCGTAGCCCCGGTGTGATGTCTGTGCCACCACCAATTCATCCCATGCCCAGGAAAAGGGGAACGGCGAATTACAGAGTACGCCCTCACCGAATCTACCAGCCCGGTGCCATGCGGTGCCTGCTTTCAAATAGATTTATGAAAGTCATGTCAAGTCCTTGTGAGAGTGGAGGGTGGCCAGTGCGCCAGGTATTGGAAAACAACAAAGGCGGTTGAACAAACACACCAAGGCAATGCAATCTCTGGGCCGCCAACGCCACAGCCGTCTCCAAAAGGGCGCTATGGAGAGTCATGGGTCTAAATCGATTTTCGGGCAGGCTGAGTTTGGCGATGAAGTACGGAGTAGTAGAAGTGATTTCTGAACCGCCATGTCGTATTGGCAAGGGTTCCGGGCTCGGGCCAGACTGTGATTGGGCTTGGCTGGCTGACCAGCAAAGAGCTGCCACGGCGCAAGTTCAAAAGCTGCCCGGTTGAGTTGAGAGCGGGGAGAGAGGTATGAGGGGGACCACGCAGACCCGGAGAGATGAGGCTCAAGCAGCACCCGGGGGCACCCCTGCTCTCGAGGTAGTGGCCCCGCTGCAGGCGCCGTGGATGAGGATTCTTGGCCTCATTATGTCAAATCAGACATCAGGGAGTTTGGTGAGAGAGTATGCTCGCTCTATTGGCGGCTCAACAATGTGTTTCTTCTGCAGTAGTGGTCCGCTTCAAAGTTGCTGTCTCACCTGTGAGAGCGGCGAATCCTCGAACCTCTTTTCTGAAGCCAAGAAGCGCTTTCCGAAAGTCTTACTTGGGTTGTTCATGATTCCCATGGAGCCAATTTCCTGGGGCAAATTATATTATATATATATATGTCTATAACTGGCTGTGCGCCGTACCCACGATTTGGAAGTCTGCTGAAACTCAAAATAGGGTATTCGACTTGGCTAGAAGACTGTTGTCTTGCTCACGTGCAGGTGAAGTTTTTTCGGGCCGCTCACGCTGATATCAATCCACATTATGCTGCTGGTCTGGTTGTAGACGATAGCAGAGGATATTTTATCGAATGTCTAGAGTGTGACGCGAACGCCAGTAGCGTTGAAGGCTTGACATTGAGTTTGGAAGCTAGCTTTTGAAGCTTGCTGTCGGAAAGACCCACAATGATGCATCTTTTCCCCAATGTCAGCAGAAAAGAAGACATGGAAGGAAAGCGATGCTCGGGTAATAGATGGATGGGGCCGCTTCAGTCGAGCCGGACAAGACGTTATTGCGTGCAGACTGGTACGGAGACGACTCCACGATTCGGCAGTCGGCACGGTGGAGCCGATGAGATGTCTCGTCCGGCACAAGTGTTAGCTGGTACTTTGTGCGGTGCCGAGTCGGCGAGCCTGCCAGAGAAATGGATCTGGCCATGGCTACTCTGTTGCCTATGATATGCTAGCTAGCGGCTGAGCGTATTGGCGTCTGGTCCAGTCTGGCAGGTCAAAATACATCTTGCCCGAGTTTTCCACGCGTTCATGGGCCAGCTGGGATCCCCCGCGTTTGTGTCTGGATGGCGAAGCAATGTCGCGTGGAGCCCGTGAAGGTGCTGGCAAATGAAGATTGACCGCGGAGTGGGCAGATGCTCCGGCCGGTTGAGACGGGGGCTGAAGGTCACGAGCGCGTGATGCGATACGAGGATGCTTGTCGTCTACTATTTGTAACACCAGTTTAACCCGTCGACGGGACGCCAGCTGTGCGCCAGCTGTGTGCTGGTTGTACGCCAATCCCGTCCAAGAAACTGCACAAGTTGCATGCCAACCTGGGAAGGTACGTTCAAGACGGGCCCGAGCTCAAATATTGCGTCCTGTTTCGTAGTTGCCTGCCAGACGATTCCATCTTGTATGAACTCATATCGATATCCAACACGCCTCTTTTTGTCAACAGAGCGCTACCGAGTACTGCTCAAACACAACGCTCCGTCGAGAGCCCGCCGCCAAGACTCGAGAGTGAAGCCAACACCAAGAATAGAACAGCCACTCGGGACCTGTCATCGTGTCGAGTCCCGAGTGCGTACCAGATGATGGCACCGCCGCTGCCCGTCCCAGTTACCGTCGCCTCCAACAGCCGCCTCCACAAGCGCGACGACTACGACGGGCCCAACCTTGCCGTGCTCATCCCCGTCATCGTCATCCTCACCCTCATAGCCGTCTTCTTCTTTGGCTGGCTAGGCGTGCCTTGGTCCAAAATCATGGCATGGTGGAAGCGCAAGCGCTCGCGCACAGCCGCGACCTCCAAGGACCACCACGACCACGACCAAGAGTTGCAACACCAAAGCCCATCTGGCCGCGCCGAGCCGCAGCCGCAGCCGCAACCGCAGCCGGGCTCGCGCCTGTCCTACGCAAAGGCCTTTGAGCGGAGCCACATCGATGCTCTCAAGCTGCCCAGCGTTGGCGCCGACCCCAAGCCCAAGAGTGCCAAGGAACCCAGCAAGCGCGTCATGGAGGGAGAAGAGGCAAACCGCCCACCTACTCGAGCGTCGACCGAGGCGCCGCCAAGCGGTTCCCTCACGCCCGACTTGGCCGCGGGCCAGATGACGCCCGGGCAGCAGAGCACGCTCAGTGCCGTGCCTGAGAGGAGAGCCTCGCCCTGGGACCCTACGAGAAATCCCGATTGAGGGTTCCTTGGGTTCCTGTCGTGAGAGACTACCGGAGGAGTCCCTTGTAGGACTGATACGAACCTTGGACTCTGGCTCTCCTTATCCTCTCTGACCTTGGTCTCGAATACATCTATCCAACCACGTCAAGTCTGGCCCCCTGGTTCAGAAAAGATGCCCGAACAACTACAGCAAATAGTGTGCCCGAGCGAGAAATTCCTATTCTTCAGCACCCTGCAATGAAACCCCTTGCTATCCCGGGGAACGCACCAGCCCCAAAAGACCAGTGTAGTTGCTGCAATATCACAAATCGTATGCGCAAAGTGCGGCCTCGAAGAGTTTGGCGAACACAACCCCAGGATCTCCTTGGAGGAAAAGAGCGGAGCGTGCGGATTTTCAGACAGGGAGGGTAGCGGCGATCTTTGGGCATATTTGGCCGCAGAGAATTGAAATTCCCCCCTTCATGCCGTAGGAAACATGGCAGATATTCTCGTCGATGTCGCAAAATGACTCTAGTTCTCAAACTGCTCGAGGGCGCTGGCGGAGAAGCCGCTTGATATGGCCAAACGCCCTTGTCCCCCGCAATAATCAAGACGCCAGTTCACAACTTTCACCTAATAACAGAGCAAACATTGTTTCACGGTAGAAAACTCCACAAACTGAACGGCAAACTAATTGCCTTGTCTTTGATATATCCAAGCGTAAATAAAATCTATCGCTATGAACCCCAACGCCTTCTCTGCCATGCGTGAAAAAAAATCAAAAAAATTCTACCATGAGCCAGTACCGTGAAACTCACCCCTTCTCGCCCCTCAATTATCGGGACTACACAGGACCCTCGCCTTGGCAATAACATTTCGAAACTGCATCTGGCCCCCGTTCTCGTCCCCGTGCTTAATCACCCCCGGAAACACAACACACCAAATCTCCCTTCTGGCAAGAGCTTCCTCGTCCTCGTCTCCCAGATCCTCCATTGTTTCCGGCTCAAACATGACCTGTTGATGGGGGAGCACCTCTGGCATGTACACCCTCAACACGGCCTTCTGAGCCACCAGTAGCCTCGCCAGTTCGACAGAGTTATTCACCAGTACGCGAAGCGCTGAGTCTCGTGCTTCCGAGCGTGATGGCGCAGATGACGTGCTGCTGTCGGTAATAGAATCTAATATACGATTGATCCGAGAAATCACCTTCTCGACATATTCCGTTGTAGAAGATTGCAGGAGTTGAGGGGCGTCGCGGCGAATAAGGGCGAGCGTGGATGCTCGCCATTGATTCACCGACTCGTCAGTAGCTGCTGCATGTTGTTAGTCGCAACTACCAAGAAAGAAGCCATGCAGGCAAAATGACGTACAAAAAGAGGACAAGAGCTCCTCCATCTGGCGAAAGCACCGCGTCTGGTCATCCGACAAGCCCACGAAGTAGGTATCAAAGACCATTTCTACCAAGATTTTGGACACCACCGACTGTAGTAAGTGTACCTTGACAGTTTGAGCGAGTGCCTCATACATGGGAACGAGTTCGCTGAGCTCAGCGAGCGTTGCCTCGTCCACTTTTGCAAAGTCGACTATCACGATCCATGTCATGTTAGCAAGCCATGCAATCTAACAACGACAAAAAAAAAAGACGGAGACGAGGAGAAGAAAACTTACCCAGCCTCGTCCTTCGGAAATTAGTAATAACCCAGTTCTGCAGCCCATTCCCCAACCGTGCCATACCATCCCCAAAAACCTCATCGCTCGTCTGTCCATCCGTCCTTGTACTCGTGCTCACAAACTCCTTCAACCCTCGAATCTGGCTCCTCAGCCCTCTCATCTCGTCATCCCGTTCCTTCAGCTCCCTCCTCAACAGCTCCCATCCCTGCCGCAACTCCTCCCTCTCTGCCTCTCGCACATCAACCTCGGCCCGCAGCAGCCGCAGCTCCGTATCTGTCCGCAAGTATTGCTGATTCAAGGCACTATGCTTCGCCTGCCAAAAGGTAGCCGTTTCACTCTCGTTTTGACTCAATTTGTCCAGTTCGCGCTGGAACTCGCGCTCCATAATGCCCATTTCCCTTTCCAGATAGGCTATTCGCTCGTCCTTTTCCCGCACCAGCACCGCGTCGCGCTCCTTTTGCCTCTCCTTGGAGGACGAGGCGGTGTATCTGATAGATGCTGACCTCGCGGGGGCCGATGAGCCATCTTTGTCCTTGTCGGTGACGGATGCGCCGCCGCTGGAGGCGTTGCTAGATGCGGTTTCGTGGGCGTCTTCGGACACGGCTGCGTTGTTGTTGACCATTGCTGCGCGGGGAGGCATGGCCGGCATGCTGTTGCTGCCGCCGCCGCTGCCGGTGGAGTTTGGGTTGCTGGATGCGGCGGTGCCTGACGTGGATGGTGTTGAGTGGTTGTGTCTGGAGCCGGTGCGCAGTGCGTGGCCGCCGCCGCCGCGGCGCTTCTCCGGAGTCTGCATTGAAGTTGAATGTGGCGATGAATGTCCCTGGGAGGTTCGTTTGTCTACTCTTCATGGACTCGTGTTTTCATGCGTCATCAGAGTTCCTTTAGGATGAACGGGGCGGTGGATTAGATGCACAAGGAGCCTGGCACCGCATTGTTGCTAGATACTCCTAGATCGGCGTCACGGGATGTCCAATGTATGGATGTATGGATGGTTGAAAGTCACTCACGGGAGGAAGGCGAAAACGAAATTAAAAGGCCTCTCCCAAAGTCGTTGCCTGGCAGCGCAAGCTAGCAGGTTGAACTTTGAGGTTGAAGTGGCTAAAGTCAATGGAGGTGGTGGAACTTGGTTGCGAGTGCACAAGAATGTGGGGAGGCGAGCGAGAAGGCCAGGGTCGGCGGGGCAAGACTGCACGGCCACGGCTGCCTTTTCCTCGTCTGATATATCGTCTCTCCATTTTCATTAGAACATGCTCCATTTGTAAGGGAAAAAAAAAAAAAAAAAAGAAGGCTGGTCCGAATGGCTTGGCGGAACAGCAAAGAAACCACCATGGACAAACAATTCTCACTCCACCTCCTCTCATATCTCGATGTCACCCTCGACCTCATAAACCTCATCCCCGTCCACCTTCTTGGCACCCATTCTACAAACCGCCACCCTGCTAACCGGCATATCCTCAACCCATATGTAGTCCTCATACTTGCTCATCAAATCAGTCGCATCAAGCATCAGCTTCTCTTTCCTCCTTCCACCCCCCCTCCCCCGGACGTATACCGTATTAACAACCGTAGCATGCAGCAACAGAGGCCGGCTCTCCTCCTCTATCAGACCCGCTTCCCCAAACGGCTTCCGTAGCTCCTGGCAAAAGTTGTACAGAATGCCCTCTGCGTCCGAGGGGGCAGCGTAGAGCACAGATGTCCTGGATGCATTGGTCATGGAACGTATTCCACGGAGAGATATAGACAACCCCCCCGGGGGAACAGTACTTCGGGTTTGCGAGGCTGTCGCCGACGCTAGAGGATTGTTGGCAGCTCTCAGCTCAGCAAGCATGTCCCTCGGCCTGAGCGTTTTCAGCAACTCAATTGTCCGACTAACATCCTCTGGCTTCAGACTCATCACCCCCAGAGTAAGATGCAGCGTCCCCGGCGGTCGTACGGCGTCATCGGGAACGCCAAAGCCGCCGGCACCTGTGACATCAGCCCGAAATGCTGCTAGATTCTTGGCCAACTGCGAACTGGCGAGTTGTAGACACAGGAAATGCGTGGGGCTGGGGCGCGGAGGCATCGTGCAGTCTGCTCGCTGCCTTGCTGGGCGGTGGTGGGTAGGCGCAAATAAATACTAGTGACACCTCTCACGTAAAGACTGGACATGTCCTGCTCCGTCATTGACCAAGTCAAGTTGTTGTCAGGTACTCCGTATCAGATGACAGACTCGAATGTACCTGCAGTCAAAAGGGCCCCACCCACTCGTCCACATCCCAACGACCACTCTGCCCTGCTCTTGCATGAGACCCTGGCACACCGCTCACCAGCCTTGCTCGTCTCGAGGGTGTGAACCAGACCCCAGTAAAGGGAGATGCGCTGTCAATAAATTATTCATCATGTATTCAATGTGCAGCTTTTCGTAAAAACCTCTAGCAGGTATCTTTTTCCCCACCGTCCATCCACCGTGAGCCATCATCAACTACGGAATCCTTCCTTGACCATAGTTGATTTACGGTAAAACAATCGGCCTTTCCGCCAACCCAAATCACGCAGTAAAGGAATGCAAAGTCCTTGACCTTCTCTGGTACATGCTGCGCGTCTCCAGAGAACAAGAAGTATCAGAAGAAAATAAAAAAAACAAAGAAAAGAAAGAAAGAAAAAATGTATCAAGACGCCTGGCACATGCCCTCTGATTGCAAGACTCTCCGTCGTGACTGTCACGCTTTTCTTGACATGCAATTTGGGCCAGGGTCTCAGCTCCCCGACAACTATTTCTCCGAATCTGGAGTTGGAAAAGGGGGAGGAGAGGGCCATCAGCTGAGTCTGCATCAGGAGAGAGTCTTTCAAATGCCCTTTCAAGCCTCGTCATCCTTGGCATAGTATGCCTTTAGTTTCCCCTCGACGTCTTGATAGTCCGCCTTGACGGTCACCAGGGCCTCCGTAATTCGCTTGAGACATAACTCAGAGTCGGGTTCTGAAGACCCGTCTAGATTCTCGTTCTTTCCATAACGCTGGATTTTCTCACAGCCATCTCTGACTTTTACTAGCCCTAATGTAGCAGACGAGCCCTTGAGGAAGTGACCGAGTTCCGATAAAGTCTTCAGGTCTTTCTGTGTTCTATTTGCGCAAATGACATGGTCAGCTCTCTTTACTAATCAAGCGCAGCATCTCCAGGTCAAAGGGTAGTATGGAACCTGTGTAGGCCCCAAATGACAGCGGGCCACAGCCTCCGCGGAACATGGAACACGGGGTTGCAAATCACTTACAGAGCCGTGTCCATATTGTCAAAGGTTTCTTGTGCTTGGGTGAAGAAGCCAAAGACGATTGACGAACTGAAATCATCGTTTCCAGGGTCGTCCATTTCCAGGATCTGGTCAAACGTGTTCATATCGATAGCATCTCCAAAGTTGAGCTCGGCGGAACCGTCCGCGCCAGTCTGTTGACAGTGTAAGTCCTTGAACGGGAGAGAAGCTTTGATACATTCGATTCAATCAACCAACCTTGTCCTCAGTGGGTGACATGTTTCGGCGCCGTTTGTAGAGATGCTCCGATTCGAAGTGGAGAGCAAGTAGATCGAGGCAGTGCTGGCTGGCGAGACCCCTTTAGCCGGACTCGATGTATATATATATGGTCCCAACAGCTTGAGCTGCGAGCTAGGCGAAGTGTGGAAAGAGTACGCGACCACGATATAACACGATGACAATGTTTAATTTGAGGGCTCGGGAGTTGCGACACACAATTATGGCACCTCGATGGTTCGCAAGGCTGGTGTGTCGACCCGGCGCAAGGTACTTGCTGGCCGGCTCCGGGGATTTACAGCGGCCTCGAGGCGCGGCACTGAGTCGTTCCGTTGGACAGCCGAGCTCAGATTCGCCGATGAGGTTGTCTGCCTCTCGTCGATCAAGTCTGGGACGAGGAGGTCCAGACAAAGGCTGACAAGTGTAGTGGTGGGATTAGGTAGGCGTAGGAGCTGGCATCGACGGAGGACAAGAGGGTCGGATCAGACAAGAGGTCAGTCAGATCAGTAAGAAGCCGCCTGGCACAGCTGTCTAAAGTAATAAATTTCTGCGAGGAGGATCCTTTCCGCGTGCCGTGGACGAGTGTGGGTAGAACGGCGTCTCTGCAAAGGACGTCAGTGGATGAACATGGAGAATTGGCCTCGGCGGGCCGCCAGTGGGGTAGAGTCGTGAAGGTGGTGGACAACGGTTGGACCATGTGGGTGGCACTATTCATTGGTAGGTGGAAGAGATGGGGGAGGTGAGGGAGACGAGGGAGACAAAAGGGAGACGCGGGCAACGAGGCTTCATGGGTGGCAGGTTGGGTGGACGAGGTGGACGAGGTGGAAGGCTCGAGGGTGGTTTGACGATGAGGACAAATATGGCACGCGGTTTAGAGTTCAGAGGCCGCAGCGATGGCCGTCTGGCCTTTGGACTTGGCTCTGCGCCCAAGGCTATCTCTCCGAGGCGAACCCAACAAGACGGAAACAATGGTCCACACCATGACGTGTCTGGCCGTGGCAGTTGAGGCCCCTCTGGTAGCGACTGCACGGGAGATAATATGTACCTACATGATGTGCAAACACGCCTGGCATGGGAAGCCGGGGAGGGCCTGGGGGCACTTGACTAGAGCGTGGCGAGCTGGGAAGAGCGTCAAGTCGCGAGTCTGGCGTCTGGAGGCGGGCAATGGATGGATAAAACGATGGATACCGAGCAGGCAGAGGGATAAAGTAAAGGTAGATACGGAGTAGATGACGGCCCAGCACGACTGCGTGTATGTAAAGTACATACCCAAGTAGGTACCTAGGTACTTACCTAGCAGACAGCAGCAGCAGCAGCAGCAGCGAGGGAATAGAGACGGAAGCGGAGGCGGATGCAGGTTCGCGTCCTGTGAGCAAGTGGCAGCACTGGGCAAAACGGGCCGGCTCAGCAGTGCGACGTGCGACGCGGGGAACGAACGAGCGGCCAGCACCAGACATGGACGCCCAGAGACCAGCGCAGAGATCAGAGGTCAGAGCTCCCAGCTTCCAGCTCCCAGTTCCCGGCTCGCACGAGTCTGGTTGCTCTTGCTGCGGCGGTGCACGACGTCACGTCAGGGCCAGGAATGGCTGAGACCTGGGTGAGACCTGGATGAGACCCGGGTCTGCCCTGGATGCCCTGGATGCCCTGGGGTCGCCGTCTTCTTCTTTCGGACTCCTGGGCCCCAAAGTGACAAGATGACGACGGGGGATGCCTGGATAGATGCTCACCCTCGTCAGGTCCGGCTTTAGTGGCAGACGGCCGGATGCCTGTCGAGTTGCCTAGCGCGGTGCAGGGGCAGGCAGATAGGGCCAGGGTTCAGTAGCCGGGACGACGAGGACGTGCGTGCGTGTGTGTTGTACAGAGTCCGGAGAATGCACGGAGGAGGGAGTATTGCGTGGCTACTCGGGCTCAAAGTCGCGAGAATAAATGGGCCGGATGCAGCAGGCGGGGGCACTGGATCAAGAGGCGCGCACACAAAACAGGCCATGGCCCCAGGGGGGTGGTTGAGAGAAGAACCGGCAGAAGGAGGAAAAGGAATTAATAAATGAAGAGTCTGGTGTGAGGCGGGGCAGTTGACAGCTGGGGGCGAGACGAGCGATTTCGGATATGTGGGGGATGATGGATGGCTGATGGCTGATGGCTGATGGCTGCTGTGGTTTGGATTTAACGCGGGCAGGCGTGAGAGGTGACGGGATGGGATGACGGACACGTCAATAAGCACATACATACATACATAGAAATATCCGTCTGATTCACGGCCAAGGGCGCGGCAGAGTTGCCTGTCTGCGGCTTCTACGGAGTGCATGTACGCACTTGGTCACTGCGGACCAAGCAATCTGCCAAGGCCTGAGAGCGTTTGGTCTATAAATACTCAAGTCAATACTATTATAATGAGTTTCTGGAGAGGGCAGGTCTGACGACAGGTCCGAGGGCTCCCGCGCATGCGGGCATGGGCTACGGACGGGAGCGTGGGCAAGAAGAACAGCAGTCGCCGAGCTCGAGCATCCATGTCGACAGAAATGTCAGATGCAGGCGTCGATCGAGCCTCGGGGCTTCGCTTCAGAACAAGACGAGGTGACGTCGTCTGGTCTGTAGCAGTCGGCGTCTGATGAGCCCTGCGACTGCGACTGCGTCTATGTACGTCTGCGTCTGTGTCTGTGCGTCTCTATACATGTATCGCTCCGCGCCACATGCACGCACAATACACGAGACATCATTGATGTCGTCCGTGGCCCTCGAGGGGTAAACAGCCTGCAATGCAAACAGCTCTGGAGATGTATGTATAGATGCATTTGCGCAAGCTGCACGGGACTACTTGCTCCGGCCGGCAGCCGCCGTTTCAGCAGCAGACATTGCGCCTGTTTGACGCCATCTCAAAGCCATCTGGGGCCGACTGGACCCAAGCGCTGGAGCAGCTTGGACTCGACGCAACCAGTTGACGTCTCTCGGTGGACGTGGCCCGCCTACTGGTGGCGGCGCGGCGCATATGCACATGTGTCAAGTCAAGTTGGCAGGGACCGACCGGCGGGCCAACTGGCGATATCAAAAAAAAAAAAATGAATTGACCGGGCTCTTTTTTTTTTTTTTTTTTTTTTTATAAAAAAAAAAAAACGTCGTACATGTGCAGCGTACGGTGCTCTGGTGCTCTGGTGCTCGGGCCCCGCGGACGACACCAGACGACAAGAGACTGACTGGAAGCTCGCGAGCACTTAAGTCGTTGCCAACCCGCGGGGGCTTCCGATGTCAACCATTGACGGCGGCGCCCCCAGTAATGCGGGCTTCCATGCTGCTGGCACACAGGCTCAGCAAGGCCAAGTAGGTAATTTCGAACGTTGATTGATGGTTTGGCCGGTTACATCATCGGACCCCTCACCTCCGCCATCGACCTCGCACCAAAGTACTCCGTGCTCCGTCTTGTGCGCCGTGCTCCATACCCGGATACTTGGTGCTGACGCCATGCATCTCCCCGACATCCAACATCTGACATCTAACATCTAGCATCTGAGAGGGGCCAGTGCTGGGTGCTGGGCTTGATGCTGGGTTGGCTGGTTGGCTGGCTAGACCCTGTCGACAGCCACATCACCAAGCTCTCCATACTTTACCCTTTGAGCCATTTGATAGCTTCGAGGAGCAAAGCTCAAAGTTCCCTCCGCCCTGCCGAGAGATGGTGACGGCGGCAGCAGCAACACTTCAAAGTTGAGCTGATTACACGCTAGTCCATCGCTCTTACCCCCCGCCACCTGTGCCAACTGCTTGAATGAATGAATGAATGAATGAATGCCACATGGAGCATCCCAGCGCCGAGGCACCCAGGCACCCAGGCATGCTTTCCCGGCCCTCGCTTACTGAGACGAGCCTGGGCAGGCGGAATCTCCGCTCAGCGCAGTGACGAATTTCTGGTCGTCAATTAATTTACGTCACGTTAATAAACATGCGTTAATTACGGAACTCTCCCGGAGGCATTCCTATCCCTTTGAGTGCGCCAAGATGCCGATTTTATAGCGAGCAAGGATATGGGCCAATCAAAGATCTTAAATTAAAAGGTATATTATCTTATACAATATTAATATAATAATATAAGTACTTATAATTCTTAAATATATATTATATTATATAATACTTATAGTAAAACTTATTAAATATAATATACTTTTTAGGTATCGCAAAAAGGTGGAGACATGTACGAAGGTGGCACCTCAGCGCACTCAAAGGGATCTCCCGTCAATCAACCAACTCCTGCCTGAGCTGCCTTGTTGCTTTGTTGCCAAGGAACACCCGCTCTCCATAAAAACCAACAGAATCAACGTCCACCAGACAACTCGCCTTGTTAGTTCCCATTCTTGGAAATTTTCTTTGCTGCCACACTGACACTTTTGACAGCACTCGCCCATATCTGCCCCATGTCCGCCCAAAAGCCGCCGAATGGGGTCTGTGGTCCAGCCATGATCCCGGCCTATCGGATCCAGATCCTTGCCGCCTACCACCCGTCGGGCTTTTACCACAGAAAAGTCATTTGTTTCTCCAGGGACCAAGAGTGTACTACAATATGTACGGAGGACGGAGGGTCTGCTTGCTGCCCTTGTGCCGTCCACATCTGTCGTCAGCGGTCTTGCGATTATCACGGCCCCTGATCGTCACATATGTATAGCGTATGACTGACTCTCAGTGCTACCAGTCAACCACAAGTCGACATATGATGATGAAAACATGTCTGCGCACCTGGACACGAATTCCTGTGCCAACTTAAAGAACCGCTCCTGTTATTCGAGGATCCGCCAACACCTTTCCCCAATTTCTGAATACTCGAAAATAATCCCGTTGGCGGTTTGACGTACATGATGCTCAGGGCCTGCCTCGATCCCTCTCTACTGCGTACAAAACTGGATGAATGGCCAACCAACCGCTGACAACACCACATGGCTGGTCGAGCTGGCACGCCGGATGAATTACCACGCAGTTCCAGCACTAAAATCCCGCCTAGAAGGAACTAGGCGAGGTGCCCC